GAAGGAAGCTGTGGGGCCCTGGACTCCTGGATTCTGACAGTGGAACGGGCAGGGGTCGGGAGGCTAGGATTCTTGAGACTGGTGTCGGGTGGAAGCTGGGCCCGGGACTGCAGGTTATATTGGAAGGATAGGGCTGGCTAGTAAAGACCGTCTTATTTGGAGATGCTACATATCTAGATTACTGAGAACTCAGAATTGGATGTTGGCACCTGTGACCCTAACTCTCACTATATTTTACTCATGCCCAGGCCAAACCAGATCCGCTGGAACCGCGGGAATGAATCTTTGCCAGAGCGGGCCGAGGCGGTCGGGGAGACGCTTACTCTGCCAGGCTTGGTATCAGCGGATAATGGCACCTACACTTGCGAGGCGTCGAACAAGCACGGCCACGCGAGGGCGCTCTATGTACTCGTGGTCTACGGTGAGGGCAGGCAGCGGCCGGCCTGGGGGCGGGGCTCAAGGCAGGGGCGGGGCCTCGGAGGAGGTCTCCGGGAGTCCTGGGTGGGGCGGGGCCTTGGGAATGGGCGAGCTGGATTGGATGGTTCAAGACCTGCCAGGGGTGTTTGAGGGGCCTGTGCAAAGGGTGATTCCTTGGGGTCAACAGCCAACAGAATTCCTGGAGTTCTGCGGCCAGATTGACCGTCTGGGTTCACACTGGGCTCTGCAGCATCCTATTGCGGGTAACTTTGCGCCTTAGTTTCCTCATCGGTTAAGTGGAAATAAACAATAGCAACCACCTCATAGGGTTGTGAAGATTATATGAGCTAAATATATAAAGGGGTTGAAATGGCCCCTAGCACAAAATAAGTGTTATGTGGTTAGCCCTTATAACGGTGGGGCAGGAATTTTGGAAGTTGTTGGGCCCTATAGCTCAGCATTTTAAATACCTGGAGCGTTTTAGACAAGGGGGGAAGGGACTTGGACCTGAGGTTCTGTGGGTCGAGACCAAAGAAAAGGGATGTGCTGTTTCTGTTCTGTGGGGAATGGGGTGGGGGAAGGAAGTGGGATAGTACTGGCAAAGGGACTCAGGGGCTGGGTCGGGCAGTGTGCAAACCAACACGCGCGCATTCTTTGTGGAAATGGAGCATCAGGAAAGAGTGGAGCCAGGACAAGGGACCAGGAGTGTCAGTAACTTGAGGGGCGTGGCACGTAAAAGCACGGTTAGTGTGTGGACTGGTTTAAGCGATCCACAGCTATGGGGCCGGGCTGGGACCGTCCTCCGATGACCTGGTCCTGCGCCCTGTCTCTCTGGCAGACCCGGGTGCGGTGGTAGAGGCTCAGACGTCGGTGCCCTACGCCATTGTGGGCGGCATCCTGGCGCTACTGGTGTTTCTGATCATATGTGTGCTGGTGGGCATGGTCTGGTGCTCAGTACGGCAGAAGGGTGAGTGGGGGCGGGGCCTGACTTCAGCGAGGGGTGTGGCTGGTTGTGGGATCCGGAAGAGGGCGGGGCCTAGAGCCCGGGTTGGAAAGCGGGCGGGCGTACAGCCGAGGTGGTAAGGGGGCGGAGCCTAGATCCGGGATTCGAAATCTGGCGGGACCTGAGGCCAAGATTCCAAAAGGGCGGACCTTTCCGCCACGACTCTTAAAAGGGGTGAAACGCTGAGGGCCAATTAAGGCCATGGGTTTGAATACAACATTTATCTTCCTAATTGTTGGATTCGTTGGGAGCAGAGCAAGGGGACACCGCCAAGAGAACGGATAAGGGTGGTCTTCCTGTGAACTTTTGGAGTCTTCCTAATTCTGCTTTTACCTCTTTTCTGCCCCTGTTTTGCTATCCCCTGGACTTGATGCCCTCTCCCTGTATGTTCCCTTTCTCCCTCTTTCTTCGCCTGGTATGTCTTGTCTGTCTCCGTCTTCCCGTATATTTCTGCCCAACTCCTGGGTCCACATATATGCCGCCTGTGCCTGGGGGTCTGCCACCCCTCAGGCTCCTATCTGACCCATGAGGCCAGTGGCCTGGATGAGCAGGGAGAAGCAAGAGAAGCCTTTCTCAATGGCAGCGACGGACACAAGAGGAAAGAAGAATTCTTCATCTGACCCCACCTCCACCCAGGCCTGGGCCTGGGCCTGGTCCTGGGCTGGGGTCCACCCCACTGCCAGCTGCAAAGACATTTACCAGAGTCTGGGATGGTGGGCCTCTCTCCCCACCACTAACACCTCAGACGCTTGGGCAGGGATGGGGGTGTCGGATCCCGGGTCTCTGCAAGGGCCAGAAGCAAGGGCCCAGAGGTCTGGGCCCCCCAGGGGGCAGGGGCCAAAGGTCCAGACCCCCCAAGTCCAGGGAGGGCGGTAGGGATTGGGTTGGGGGAAGATAACTGGGGGAAGGCCACGGCCCCTAGGCTGCAGAACCAGGTCTTGTGGGGAGGGGGTCAGATTCTGGGAAGGGTGGGGTGGGCAGGGAAGGGGAACACAGATTTCTTTGGGGGTCCCAGACCCCATGCCAGCCATTGTAGGAGTTCCACAGAGCTCTGGGCACCTCTTTGCAAAGCCATGTTTGCACGGTGGGGGTAAGGGTGGGGGGAGGGCATGGAAACAGGGATTCTGTGTCTTTGTGTCATAACTTCGATGGGGGTGGTGAGGGAGACAGCCCCAACCCTTTTCTCCAATCCCCAGGTTCCTGGGCTCCCCTTCCCTCCACCTCCTCCCCCCATATCTGTCCTATCCATATTTGTCTCTCTTTCTACCCGCTCCTGGGGGGGGCCTTCCCCATCTCTCCTCCAGGCCCTCCAGGGAGAGGGAAAGGAGTTTGGGGGGTGCGTTGGTCTCTATGGTTTTATATATAATATATTAAAAAAAATTAAAAATCTGTATGAAAATATCAGATTGCACCCCCCTCCCCTCATTCCTGGCTTTTGCCCCCTTTTTCTTGTAAAAAAAAAAAAACAAAAACACATTTTGTATGGGGAGGGGACGGGGAGGGGGTTTGGCAATCCCACTAACCACCATTAAACTGAGGAGAGAACAAGTGTCTGGGGTGGCTGTGTGTCTGTCCCTCTGCCCAGAGCTGCACTATGTTGGGAGGGGAACTGAACTAAGGGAGGGAGGAGGGAGAGGAGTAAGATGGTTGCTGGCGGACAGTACAAGCCAGGAGAGGGTCCTTACCTCTTCAAAGGCACCTCCCCTCTTCCAAGAAATTTGTTTTTTCTCCTGGCCATTCCATGAGCCAAAAGTCACTGAGTCTTGTCTCTTCAGTAGCCACTGAGCTACCCCATCCCCAGCCAATGGCCTGGATCCTTCCCCTGGCTTACTCCTACCCCCGACATCAATCTCCAAAGGACCTCTCTCCCTGGCAACACCTGTCCCTGCTCTGCTCAAAACCTTTCCCTAGCTCCCCATCACCTCTAGGTCAAGTCAAACCCCCTTAGCCTGGCATTCCTGACTCCTTCCTCCTCCTCATTCAACTAAATTTTAGATGAGTGATTCTAATTTTAGACTAAAAAATACATTGACCTCTTACTTTGTGCCAGGTGCTACTCAAAGATGTGGAGATGCCATAGTGAATAAAAAAAAGGCAAATGTTAGATGTTCTAGACACCTTAGTACTAATCTGAAACTTGATCCTAGTCTAGGCACTGAGGACCCAAAGAAAAAGGGTGACTCCATTCTTACCCTCACAAAGCTTCCATGAGAACAGACTGCAGTAAGGAAGCAAAAAAACTTAAATTTCAGATTGCCCTAAGTACCCTTAAGATAAAATGCAGAGTAAGGTGATGTGGGGTATTATTGACTTATTATGGAAAACTTCAAAACAGAAGTAGACAGAACAGGATAATGAAGTCCCATGCACCCTTCACCCCAGCTTCCACAACCATGGACTCATGACCAAACCTGCTTTAACCATAACACCACTCACTTCTCTAAAGCAAATCTGGCTTTCAGATTTGAAAGATGGCACTTTCAAAGTGCCATCTTTGAAAGATCAAGGAGAGCCTGCCTGATTGACACCTGTGCCAAGAAATGAATGATGAGCATAAGATCAGCTATTCAAAGATCAGAGGGAAAAGCATTTTCAGGCAAGGGGAATAGCAAGGGCAAAGGCCTGAGGTGGTAAAGAGATTGCAGTGTTTGAGGGGAAGTGGAGCTAGACGGTGGAGTGGATAAAGAGAGGTGAGTCAAGTCAGAGACAAGGAGGGGGAGACCATGTGTATAAGCCCCTGGGCCATGACAGAGTTTGGATTTTTTTCTAAGTGTAACGGGAGCTCATTGGAGAGTTCTGAGCGGGGAATCTGAGTCAATTGGAGGAAGCCTGGAATGCTGCAATAGCTTCCTATACGGTCAGGTCAGCGTAGTCTGAGGTCTTAACTTCACCTGTAGGAGCCATTCCCCTCTCTTATTTCTGTGTTTCAGGGATACTTAGCTGCTATCATTTTCTCAATCAAACCATAACTACTTTTTGCCTATAGGCTTCTACCCTTGCTGTTCCCTCTGCCAGAAAAACTCCTATTCTAGTTGGCTTCTATTCATCCTTGGCTTAAATATCATCACCTCTTGGATGCCTCTCCAGGCTGGGGCAGGCACCTCCTGTGGCTCCCACAGTTTCCTATACTCCACTCATCCCAAGTCTGACCAATCTGGGTTGTGGTTCTGACTTTTGTGGCTCTCCTTCCTTTGACTGAGGTGCCATGAGGATAGGAGCCAGGTGTGTCTTGTCTACTGCGGAAAACAGTGCCCACCAGCACAGGCTGGCACAAAAGAGAGCAGTAAATATTTATGCTGGGGGGGAGGGCTTGTGGGGTTGGTAAGTGTCTTGGCCCTTGCGCCCCCTCTCCGGATGCAAACTGATGCCAACTAAAAACAAGGCCACCCGCTCCGCGCTAGTCCGCAATCCTTCAGCCCGTGCGCTTTGTTCAGGAGCGCCGCCAGCCGCCGCCCTCCCCATACGCTAATCACGGCGTTCGGGAGTACGGCCTCTCCGAGGAATATGCAAATCACCCCTTCAGCGCCGTAGGGCTTCTATTGTCCCTCACTAAGATTATGCAAATAAGCAAGCCTCAGGCCCAGGATCCAGGTTTAGCTGACGCTCCCATCCCCTAGCTCATCACATTTTCTATAAGGCGCGTTCCTGCTCGCTCACGCACGCGCAAGCCTTGCAGTTTCTTGTTCGTTTAGCTGCGGACTGTACCAAGTAAACCCGGACAGCGAGGGGCAAAGCCCGGAACCCCCTGCGCGGGTCTCGTCGACGGCCCAACTCGGAGAGCCCCTCTTCCCACAGTACGACGGGAATGGTCCATCTCGCCGCGCAAGCGCCCTAGGCTCTTCACGCCGCTTTGCACTGCCTCCTACCCGACTTGCAGCGCAGGCGCAGAGCCGAGGCGTGCAGCCGCCGCCGCCGAGCCAGAGCGGGGGCAGCTAGCGCCGGTGAGTGTCCGGGATAGGGGTGCGCGGGGCATGCTGGGAAGCGGGCGCTACGGCACCGCTGCATGATGGGAGTGACGGCTCCCGTCACCGGGGCGAGCAGGCAGCCGTCTTGGCCCGTGATGGCCGGAGGGCGAGACCCAGGCTCCCTTTTCTCCCCCAACGCGGCTCCGTGCCGCCCTGGGGCATCCTGGGGAAACGGGACGCTCGGCCCTGAGGCATTGTGGGAGTCGGTCCGCTAGTCGTTATGGGCCTAGTGCATTCTGGGAAGCATTATCCTAGCTCCTTGTGGGGAAGCAGTCCCTTTTGTCACACACCTTCCGCTGAGCATCCTGGAAGCTCGGAGTGCTTCGACGCAGAGCACCTTGGAAGGTGGTCATTATAGGCCCGAGGCGTCCTGGGAAGGATTGTCGCAGGGCATTGTGGGGACTGGTCCTTATTGTCCGGTGTAAGGTTTTGCTCTGGCCTCCTTGCCCTAGCATTGTGGGAACGGGTGCCTATTATGTTCACGCAGGGCATCCTGGGAATTGGTTCCTGTAGGTTCAGTATTTGGTGGGGCCTAGGCACAGTGTTTTCCTTGTGGTAGTGAGGGAGCCTCATTTGTGTCCCTTTAAAATTGTGGAAGCCGGTATGGCCACCATAGTCGTTGTAGGAATGGGACTTGTGCACCAAAGAATGTCTCCACTTGACATCTGGAATACTCTGGAAGGTCCTTGTGTGATGTGGGTTTGGGGGAAGGTAGGCTGGACTGGTGAGCAATGTCTCCTGGTAATCTAATGGGAAGTCCTGATTGTCTCTAGTGTGTGCTTGCCAGGTAACATATAGAACGTCCTGTTCAATTTGAGTTTCAGGTAAATAACCTTTTAGAAATGTTTATCCCAAATATTGCATGGAACCTGTGTATATTAAATAATTTTCTTTTTATCTGAAATTAAAATTTAACCAGGCATGGTTTGTTTTTATTTACTAAATCTGGCAAACTTATCCTGGCATGAAGTAGAAATTCCAAATTAAATGGACCCTACAAGCAGTAGGGCATTAGGACAATTCTCTGCCAATTACGAATTTCCTGTCCTTAAAGCCCAGATCCAGGTGTCTTTAGAAAGCTCCCCTGCCATTGCTACCAGGCCCCCCCCCCCCGCCCCCATGCACCAGCCCCCTCCAGGCTTCGCTTTTTTTTTTTTTCTTTAGTCCCCAGCATTAAACTTGACTTCTAGGCTTTGAAGGGATTGTGTATTTTCCACCATTATATCCCCAGTACCCAGCACAAGTCTTGGCATAAAGAGGTGTAGCTGAGGCTGCCAATCCTTTCACTAGCTTGGCTCTTCTTGGCTCTTTACTGCCAGGGAGTGCAATGGGAGACAAAAGAATTGCCGCGTGTGTGTGTGTGTGTGTGTGTGTGTGTGTGTGAAGGGAGGTGTTGGTGAAGAGGGATAGGAAGGAAAGGAGTCAGAGAAGGCTTCTTGCCAGAGGTAGAGATGGTATTTGGGCTCGAAGAAGTACAGAGGTTCTTGTGTTTGAGATGGGTTTTGGAGAGTGAGTAGGAGTTCTCCAGGCAGACAAGGACATTCTAGACAGCAATAGTAGGATTTGCTAAGACCCGCAGATGTGAAAAGCCCTGGTGTGCACGGGGAGAGGTGAGAAGTCTGAAATGGCTGGGGTTTGTAGAAAGGGTTGTGGGCGGGAGTATTAACGGCCACTGTTAATGGAGTACCTGCCACATACCAGCAGTTTATATTGAATCAGCCCACTGAATTCAAAAAGTTTTTTCAGCCGAGGGATCATTTTATGAGAGGGTAACATCAAATCCTAGTTCACCCACCAACTAGTTGGTGTGACCTTGAACTACTTGTTAATCCTCTCTGTGCCTCAGTTTCCTCGTGTACAAAGAAGGTGATAATCTCTCAACGTAGTTACAAGGACTACATGGGTTAAGCCCCGGGAGCCCTTTGGTACCGAGAAGGAAACAGGCTAGAGAAGTTAAGTCCTTTGCTTGAAGCTACACAGCTAGAATATGGCAGATTTAGGGTTCAGACCAAGACACCACTTTGCCAAGGTATAGAACTAGGGCTGACACAAACTAGTGCTGTCATACCACTCATTTAAATACCAAAGTCCTTCTAGACTGATCACCACTACATCAAGGAATTCCCTACCCCCAGCTGCCACTTTGGACCCTCCCCCAGCCCCGGACTTTCTCACAAACTTAGCAACTAAAGGGTTAATTCTTGGCGTAGGACCATGTTCCACTCAGTTCTAATTGGTGCCCAGGCTGATACCTGCTGCTAAATATTTGGGATGCTTCCCCACACCACTGACAGCTTTGTTGCCCAGATGGGGAAATTAAGATCTATAGAAGAGCTGGGGCTATCTTTCTTTTCCTTTCCCCCAGCACTGAGCACACAGCTGGGCCTAGGGAGGCAGATGCTATGTAAAAATTTATTGAGTCACCACAGGCCTTTCCTTCCCCTGCGCAGCATCCCGCTCTACCTGCCAACATCCTGCATTGGAGAACTTGTGACCCAGGTGTGGCTCTGAAGAGCTGGCCGGGGAGGGACGCTGCCCAGCTGCTGCTCTTCTCCTGTCTCCTGTCCCCTCCCCTGGCCATGACAGAGACCCGTGAGCCAGCTGAGACTGGGGGCTATGCCAGCTTGGAAGAAGACGATGAGGACCTCTCTCCAGGTGAGGCAGCCTTAGAGATGGTGGCATTGCCTTGAATATCATCCTGGCTTGGAATTGGGGCTCTACTGAGAAATCTAGAGGGGGAGTGGCCCCTTGTCTCGCTAGGTGTTCCATTCTGACTGGGACTGTGTGCCCTGCTGGTGGAATCCTTCCGGCTGAGACTTCTGGGGGTTGTAGATTGGCTAGGATTGCTCTCCTTAATAGGGGTTCTAGATTGGTTGTGGTCTCTCTCCTCACTGGGGGTTCGAGATTGGCTGTGACCTCTCTTGCTGAAGGTGCTAGATAGGTTGTGATCTCTCTCCTCTCGGGGGGTTCCGGATAGGCTGTGATTTATTTCTTTTCTGAAGGTTCTGGATTGGTTGTGATCTCTCTCTTTTCTGAAGGTTCTGAATCGACTATGACCTCTCTCTTTTCTAGGGGTTCTGGATTGGCTGTGATTTCTCTCTTTTCTGGGCGTTCTGGTTTGGCTGTGATCTCTTTCCTTGCTGGAGGTTCTAGATTGGCTGTGATCTCTTTCTTTGCTGGAGGTTCCAGGTCGGCTGTGCTGTGTCTCCTCACTGGGGGTTCTAGATCGTCTGCCACCTCTCTCCTTGCCGGGGCTTCTAGATTGTCTATGATCTCTCTCCTTGCTGGGTGTTCTAGATCGTCTGTGATACCTCTCTGTGCTGGGTGTTCTAGATTGTCTGTGATCTCTCTCCTTGCTGGGTGTTCTAGATCGTCTGTGATCTCTCTCTCTGCTGGGTGTTCTAGATTGTCTGTGATCTCTCTCCTTGCTGGGTGTTCTAGATCGTCCGTGATCTCTCTCCATGCTGGGTGTTCTAGATCGTCTGTGATCTCTCTCCTTGCTGGGGCTTCTAGACTGGCTGTGACTTTTTTCCCTTCTGGGGGTTCTAGATTGGTTATAATTTTTTCCCTTGCTGTGGGTTCTGGATTGGCTGTGTCTTCTCATCTGACTGGGAGTTCCTTTCCGGGTACGACTTCTTGCCCTACTGTGATTTCTCTTCGAACTGTGACTTCTCTTCCCACTGTGGGCTCTCTTCTGACTGCGACTTCTTGCTCTCCTAGACCAGCTGTGACTTTGGGTCCTGCTGGGGGTGCTAGACCAGCTGTGACTTTGGGCCCCGCTAGGGGTGCTAGACCGGCTATGACTCCGGGTCCTGCTGGGTGCACTATCCGGGTTGTAACTCTTGCCCCTGCTAGATACTTCAGTTGGGCTGTAACTCCATTCCCTGCCAGGGGTGGTCATCTGACTATATCTCTTCACCCTCCTCGATGATGATGGAGACTGGCTGTAACCTTTCTTCTTGAAGGGAGTTCTAGTGGGGCTGTAACTCTTGGCCCTACTTGGGGCTGTAGCCAGCTCGGAACTCTTCCCCATGCCTGAGGCTCCTGGTGGGCTGTAACTCTTCTCTCTGCTCAGATTTCCAGGCTGGCTCTTGCTTCTTTCCCAGTTGTTGTTTCTAGGCTGGCTGGAACTCTTGCCCCTACTCTGTTTTTTCTGGGAAGTAGGAGTTCTTACCCTGTTGGGCACACCTGGTGTGGCACCGTGAGTTCTTATCCTGGTCATGGTGCTGGCCCTGCTGGGTGACCTCTTGGAGCTGCGGCTTCCCCTTCTGCCAGGAGGTCGGCCCCGGCTGTGTGTGCCCCTCCGCTGGTGGGGTCTTACCCCACTGGCCTTGCTGATTTTGCTGGCCCTGGTGTCAGTGCTGGCCTTGCTGGGCGTCCTTGCCCTGCTGTGGACTCGGGACTTGCTGCCGGGCTGTTTAGAAGGGGCTGTCTTTGTACTTGCCCACTTGGTAGACTTGGAACTGCTTGGGCTTGTGGCCGAGTTGGGGGCCGTTGATGGCTTGGTGGGCACCGAGGAGCTGTTGGGCATTGCCGATTTGGTGGGCCTCAAGGAGGCGGGAGGCTTGGGAGGCACTGTGGACATCGAGGGTTCAGTGGATGCTGGAGACATGCCAGGCTTGGAGGATCTCGTAGGTGGAGAAGGCATGGTAGGTGCAAAAGGGCTTGTGGTCCTTAAAATCACAGTGGACATGAAAGACCTGGTTGCCATGGACAACGACCTGATTGCCTTTCCCAAGCCAACCGCATGAAGTCATAGTGGGCCTTGAAGGCCCTGGAGGGCAGGTGGTGTGAAGTCAGGTGGGAGGAGAAAGAGGGGTGGGGCCCCGGCCCAAGGCCAGAGGGGTTTCCTCTGTGTTTTGCAGCCATTCAGCAAATGTCTGCTGAGGCTGCCTGGGGACTGAGCATTGCTGGGGACATGGAGATGGGTCAGACCCAGGTGCTGTCTTCCAGGAGTCCCCCATCTCCAGGTCACTACCCAGGTAGTCAGGATGTGTTGGAGTTTGGGTGGGGGGGGTGGGGACAGGGGCAGAGGGTTCCCAGACAAGAGAAAGACACTAACCGCCTGAGGAGTCCGGGAGGACTTCACAGAGGAGGTGATGTGTGAGCTGGGCAGTGTTGGGGACCCCAAGATGAGTCAGACCTGCCCTCAAGGAGTCCTAGTCTGACGGGGAAGACATACCGGGGCCCATGGCTGCAGCCAGGGGAGAGGGCCGGGCCAGCGGGAGCCAGGGTGGAGGGAGCCGCCATCATAGAGAACAGAGCCTGGGTGCTGGGGCCTGAAGGATGAGTAGGAGGTCACCAGGCAGACAGAGTGGGGGACAGCCTTCCAGGAGGAGGGAGCAGCCCACACCAGGGCCTCAGGAAACGGGTGTTAAATGGCAGAGAGACGGCAAGACCGAGGCAGGAATGAGTAGAGAGAGAGCCGCAGGGAGGGACGTTCAGCCTACGAGAGTAGGAGCACCTACTCTCCTGAGCTGGGGGATGCCGGGGACCCAGCAGTGAGTCAGAGCAGGCCTGCCCCCTGGTCTGGTGGGAAAGGGCTTTGTACAGGCACAGCCCTCAGGGCTCAGGGTGAGGACAGCCAGAGGGCAAAAGACAGTGAGTGGCTGCCTAGGATGAGGAGATCTGGGACAGCCTCACTAAGGAGGGAGGCTTCCTACTGCGTCCTAAAGAATGATGGGGAAAACCAGGGTGAGACCTTCCCAGCAGAGGGAACAACATGTGTGAAAACCTCTGAAAAGGTTTGCTAAATTGAATGCCAGGCACAAAGAAGGCGTTCTAGATGCTAGAGATGCAGCAATGAAGCAGACAAAGTCCCTGCTCTGGGGGACAGGCAGTAAACACACAGGTTGATGTTGGATACGAGAAGTTGAGGAGAAAAAACAGCAGAGTCAGGGGCATAGGGAGTGCTGGGGAAGGATTGCCGATCAGACAGAGTGGTGAGGGTGTCTCTGAGAAGGTGACCCTTGCTCAGAGACTTGGCGAGGGGAGGGAGCAAGCCTTAGTCCATCTGTAAAAAGGGGGTAGCAAACGCCCTGCGGCAGGTGAATGCCTGAGGGGTCGAGGAGCCATGAGGAGCTCAGTGTGGTTGGCTCAGTTGTCATAAGAGCCCTCCAGGCTGCTGGAGGGAAATGAGGAAGAGGACCCAGGATGGACGCAGAGCAAGGCTGTAGCAGTCTTAAGGGATGCTTTTGATAGGTGCCTGCAGTATTTCCCACACCACTGCTGCTGTAGGGGGGCCTCCCCCCCCAACCAGTGCTCTGTGTGCACCCCCGTAATGACTGCTGATGGCACCCTTTCCTGTCATCGACTGCAAATTGTTTTCCTTTTTTGTAACCCACACTTGTCCTAGACATGTCCTGCATGCCCATGAAATCACAGTAATATATCTGTACTTACAAATATTTTAGCAGGGGCACCTGGGCAGCTCAGTCGGTTAAGGGTCTGCCTTCGGCTCAGGTCATGATCCTGGGGTCCTGGGATCAAGTTGCATCAGGCTCCCTGCTCAGCGGGGAGTCTGCTTCTCCCTCTGCCCCTCCCCCCTGCTCCTACACACACACACACACACACACACTCTCTCTCTCTCTCTCTCTCTCTCTCTCTCACACACACACACACACACACACTCTCTCTCTCTCTCTTTCTCTTTCTGTTTTTCTCTCAAATAAAATTAAAAAATTTTTAGGGGTGCCTGGGTGGTGCAGTCAGTCGAGCACCCATCTCTTGGTTTCAGCTCAGGTTGTGATCTCAGGGTCATGAGATCGTGTGCTCTCTCTCTCTAAAAGACAGAGTTAATTCACTTAACTGTATAGGTATATACACACCACATACATGTGTTTTAATTTGCTTGAAGACCTATTTGTCTCCCTAAAATGATCCATTGTAGGTCATCACCCATATTTAGCTTTCCCTGTTAGAGCTGTGTGACTGGAGGTGAGTGAGTCACCTAACTGCTCTGTTCCTCAGTTTCCCATTTGTCACTTAGGGTTAATAATGGTACTTGCCTCCAAAGGTTGTTATAAGCCTTAGGTAGGTTAATATATAAGAGCAGGGTTCTTCTTCTTTTTTTTTTCTTTTAGATTTATTTATGTGAGAGAGAGCACGCGTGCGCGCACACTGGGGGGCAGGGGTGCCAGAAGGAGAAGGATAGAAAGAATCCCAAGCAGACTTCCCACTGAGTGCAGACTCCGGTGCGGGGCTCGATCCCGTGACCCTGAGATCAAGACCTGAGCCAAGATCAAGAGCCCGACACTTAACCGACTGCGTCACCCAGGCGCCCCAAGAACAGGGTTCTTAAAATAGCAAGGAACACTGTTATTGTTACCGTTTTTATTACTGCTGCTTTGTCCTTATTAAACCCCTAAGGTGCAGTTCTTGCAAGACATCCATTTGCTCAGACACTGAGCACCTACTGCATGCCAGGCCATGTTCAATGCGACTGGGATTCCTCTGGGGGGAGGAGCAGGGGCTGTGTCTGGGCTGCCCCCTCCATGCTGTGGCGAGAGTCTGAATGAGGCTCAGGGAGGGGGCAGAGCCCTCGGCCTCAGATGCCTCTGTCTCTCCCCATCCATCCCCCTACAGGCCCCGAGCATTCCTCTGACTCTGAGTACACTCTCTCAGAGCCAGACTCCGAAGAGGAAGAAGATGAAGAGGAGGAGGAGGAGGAGGCCACTGATGATCCTGAATATGACCCTGGCTACAAGGTGAAGCAGCGCCTGGGGGGAGGCCGGGGGGGCCCATCCCGCCGGGCCCCCCGTGCAGCCCAGCCCCCAGGCCCCCCAGCCCAGCCCTGCCAGCTCTGTGGCCGCTCGCCCCTTGGGGAGGCCCCACCAGGGACCCCGCCCTGCCGGCTCTGCTGTCCTGCTACAGCCCCCCAGGAAGCTCCAGCCCCTGAAGGCAGGGCCCTCGGGGAGGAAGAGGAGGAGCCACCTCGGGCTGGGGAGGGCCGACCAGCTGGGAGGGAGGAGGAGGAGGAAGAGGAGGAGGAGGAGGAGGAGGAGGAGGAGGGCACCTACCACTGTACAGAGTGTGAGGATTCCTTCGACAACCTCGGGGAGCTGCATGGGCACTTCATGCTGCATGCCCGGGGGGAGGTGTAGGGGGAGACCCCACCCAGGGAGCTTGGCCAAAGGGGTGGGGTGGGAGGAGGGGGCAGAGGAAACTGGGGGAGGGTCACAATGGTCATGGGGGATGGGGGTAACGCCAATCTGTGTCGTCTTAGCAGTAGATGTGTGAAGGCCAGAATAAAAGCCAAATTCTGTGTGTGTTGGTCCAGCGTGTTTGGTGTGTGTGTGTGTGTGCGCGTGCGTGCATGTGTGTAGACTCTTGAGTGTGTGAGGCATGGGCCTGGGTGTTTATCCCCTCCCATCCCCTGGGGCTCCTCCCTGGGGGGACCCTTAACATCGTCATTAAGACTTTCAACATTTCCTGAGTGCTTCTGTTCAGTGTGGTTTCCATGTATTTACTCACAGACCCCATGATGTACGGGCTGGACTCAACAGTACAGAGGTTTCGCGCTCACATCATAGTCCAGGGTGGGTGTTTCAGGTTGGGGGACAGCCTTTCTCCATGCAGTGATTCGAGGACCTGGGCCATCCCTTAGCCGACTGTCATCCACATGGTCATGGCTGAGTGGCTGTGGCCTGGGTCCTGCTGGTGGAAGAGGAAGGCCAGCCTGGCGAGGTACCTGTGATGTCTTACCAGCCCCAGCCCCAACGGGGCACATACTGCTCCCATTGACATCCCTCTGCTGAGAAATGAGTCACATGGCCACAGCTCCTTGCAGGGGAATCTGGGAGAAGCGGTCTAGCCAATGCCCGGGAAGCAGAGAACAGTTTGTGGAGGATGGTGGAGGACAGCTAATGTTCTCTGCCCCTGCCTAAGAACCTTCACAAAGAGGACGTTAATTATAATCAGAGCTGTGCTTCCTGGGTGCCAAGTGCCGGTCCAAGAGCTTTATATATATTGACTCATAGAAGTTGTGTATCTAGGAACTTCCAAAAATAGAACCTTAATTATAATTACAGCTGCCATTTTCCCAGCGCTTACAGAGTGCTGCATTTTATTTGCATGAGATCATCAGGTCCTTAGAATAACTCTGTGAGGTAGGGACTGTGATCCATTAATTCATTTAGGAATTATCTTCCGAGTCCCTGCTGTATGCTGCGCATTGGGAATATACCAGTGAACAAAATAAAACCCTTGTCCTCATGGAGCTTGCAGGGGGGAGGGTAGGACAGACAGTAAATAAGTAAGATGGAGCGTATGCTGGCTGGGGGTAGATGCTGTGGAGAAGAACAAAGCAGAGGAGGGAGAACAGTGCTGGAAGGGGGCTGCCATTTTAAATGTAGCCCTCCCTGAGGAGGTGACGGAGCCCTAAGCAGAGGCAGAGGGGAGGAGGGAGCTGGAGCTGCATACTTAGGCGGGACGAGCAGTCCAGGCGGGAGGAGGCAGGAGCCTGTTGGGTGTCAGAGAGGGCAGAGCTGGAGGGGTGAGGGCAGAGGGGAGCGGAGGGCCAGCTGGTTAGAGCTTTGTTGGAACTTGGCTCTTGCTTGGAGATGGGAAGTACTAATTCATAGAAGTTTGGCACCAAAGCTTCTTAGAAAATAGAAGCCTAATTATAATGATAGCTACCATTTACTGAGCATTTACTGTATGCCAAGCCCTGTTCTAAGGCGCTTTACATGTGTTAACTCATAGAAGCTTGGCAACTAAGAACCTTCAAGAATAGAACCTGAATTACCGTAATGGCCATCATTAAATCAGCGCTCACGGTGGACCAGGCCCTGGGCTAAAGCGCTTTATATGGACAATCGCATCGGATCCTTATGAGGTAGGGGCTGTTATTTATTCATTCATTCATTCAACAGTGATGTATTGAGCACCTGCGAGATACTGGCACTATTCTGGGAGCTGAGAGTAGAGCAGTGAGCATGATGAACAAGACTCCCTGCCTTTTTGGAAACCCCTCTTATAACGCAGAAGACAGATACTTAGATACAGTAAAATATATAAAACGTAGAGAACATTAGAAGGTAGTAAGTGCTGTGGAGGAAAACGGGGTGGGGAGGCGTGTGTGTGTGTGTGTGTGTGTGTGTGGCTCCTGTCTTCAGGGGCAGTGAGTGCAAAGGCCCTGAGGTGGGGCCCTACTTGGGATATTTATGGAAGAACACTTAGGGCATGAGGCAGTTGCTGATGAAGGCAGGGGAAGACTGGTGGGAAGGCAAAGTCAGGGAGGGGCAGAGGGCCAGGCCTTCTAAGCCATTCTACCAATTTGGGCTGTGTCTCCATGTCTCCAGTCATTGTCATAACCCTTAGAGGCATAGGGGCTATTATCACAACCATTTTATAGCGGTTCCAGCTCGGGCCCAGGGAGGTTGACTTAACTGCTACAGGTCGGTCATACAGCTAATAAGCAGAGCCCGGGTTTGACTCCACACAACGGGGTGCAGGGCATACGTCCTTCACCGTTAAGCCACATTCCAGAAATGGCAGCCTGGCTGTCCGTAGCCATCATCTGACTGGCAGGAGTGTGTTTGGTCTCCACAGAGTTACGGAGGTTTTTTAATCATGTTGGTTACCAACATTTAAAAATGGGCAGATTTCACATCAAAATGGAGGGTTGGAGTTTCTCTTAAAAATTGTGAGATCTCGATTGCTGAACCCACAATCCCATAGGACAGTAGCTTGCTGGAGCTGAGTAAGGGTTACCTTCTGCTAATGGGGCATTCCGGCCCACGCACCCATTCCCCACCATCTGGCATGTGGACCCCTCACGCCCTGCTTGCTTCCCTGATGACGGTACCTGCTTGGCCACAAAGAACACTTGCATTTTGGTGCCTGTTACAGGATCTTATACCAAAGCATCTGTCAAAACCCACACTTTTCATCCTAGAGACTCAGAATCTGAAAACCTGACATTTATCCACTCTTCAGCTTGAGACTTTCCTAACCACTATAGCTTAACATCAATGACTCTTAGAATCGTCAAAGCAGAAATTCACAGCTCATTAAAACACCACAGATGGATTTTATTTCCTGGAGCAGCATGCTTAAGCGCTCTTCTGCCCTAAGATGGGGGTTTCTAAGCATGGGTGTAGAGAACAATCCATTCATCAGCAAAAATTCCTAAGGATATGAGAGACTGGGAATCCAGACACCTAGTCTGCTGCCAGTGGGGTCATTCAGTTCCTTGGGGTCCAGGCAGGATAGGGACACCAAGCTGGGAGTTACAACGAGAGGACTTAACGCAGGGGAGTGGTCATGCAGCTATTAGAAGTCTGAGAGCACAAATGTGGAAAACTGAGGCAACTGAGCAGTTCGTTTCTGCACAAAGCTCCCACCCCTAGGACTGGGGTCCCGGGCCCAGCAGGAGCTTGGAGGACAGGCCGTGTGCAGAGGTTTAAACCTCAAGAGGTTTAGCACAGTACCTTGTGCCCAGTACAGAATGGCACTGGAGCCTGAGCTGCTGCTGGAGGGAATCCAAAGCAAGGTGAGTCCCTTCTCCGTCTTCCTACCTTCTTTATGCCATCCCTCTTGTGGGCAGAACTTGAGGAAGCCAGCTCTGGAGTCTGGGAAACCTAACTGCAGAAAGCCCAGCATCACAGAGCATCACAGGGATGATGCCGAGAGACACTCAGTAAACAATGGGCACAGTTGAGCATTCTTTGAGCCTCTGAGATCAAGTGTCCTAGGTGCTGGGGAAGCGAGGAAGACATAACACTTGCCCTCGAGAGTGTGTATTCCAGGGTAAGAACACGGATAATGACAGACAAAAGCATGATAATCCCAGGTATTGAAGAGCGCTAAGAAGAAATTAAGTCAGGGTAAGGGTTGCTGGTGCCACTTTAGCCAAGCAGGTCAAGGAGGACCTCTCTGAGGTGGTAGCATGTGTTGAGTCCTGAATAACGTAGGGACAGTGTTGCAAAATTCTGGGTAAGAGCACTCGAGGCAGAGGGAATAGCAAGTGCAAAGGCCCTGAGGCAGAAACCAGCCTGGCATGTGTGACTGGAGTATAGTGAAGATAGAGCTGGGAGGGAGTTAAGATTGCTTAGCAGGCAGGGGCTCCCATCACTGTTGGGTTTTCTGGGCCTGGGTAAGGTCTTGGGATGTTATTTATGGTATTCCATTTGAGGATTTTAAATGAGTGATGTGCACTGACTTACATACACGGGGGGTGGTCTGTAGTGGACTGGAGGGGGTAGCAGTGGTGGCAGGTCCAGGGGTGGGCTGAGGGGAGCAGTTAGGAGAGCAGCTGTGGGGAGGGCCGGTCAGACTTGGGAATTTAAAGATTTTTATTTTTTTTTGACAGAGACATAGCAAGAGAGGGAACACAAGCAGGGGGAGTGAGAGAGGGAGAAGCAGGCTTCCCGCGGAGCAGGGAGCCTGATGCGGGTCTCGATCCCAGGACCCCGGGATCATGACGTGAGCTGAAGGCAGACGCTTAACGACTGAGCCACCCAGGCGCCCCAAGACTTGGGAATTTAGAAGTAGAGTGGACAGTTGACCAATCTCATGGTAGTGGTGTAGGTGGGGGCTGTAGGAGTCACATCGACCCTTTTTACGTTTTTGAGACGCCTATTCGTCATCCAAGTGACTTTCTCATGGGGAGAAGTCTGGGGTTTGAGCTGCAGATAAAGATTGGGAAGTCACCAGTGATGCTATTTAAAATCTTGGGAATCTATGACATCTGGAGAGTGGGGAGAACAGGAAGAACACAGGCAGGCTGCTATCTATCTCAGGGGAGCATGTGTGATTCTAGCCTTAGGTTTGGGTTGGAGGGAACCGCTGTGGGGGAGGTGTAAAACATCTGGGTTGGAAACTTCTGAGCTGTCGCCAGGTGCAGAGGAAATATTTGACTTTGGTGAAGTCGATATTTTAGGAAACAGTGATGGCCAACTGACTCCAAACCAATTTCCCCGTAAGTCATCCAAGCAAAGAGATCCGGGCTAGCTAGCCCCGCCCAAATCCTGCACAAACAAACACATGCATGCACAGCCCCCTACTAGAGGTAGTATTTCCCGGGGTGGGAATCCTGGCTGCCAGGCTCAGAGTAGTTTGTTTGTCCGTCGGTTAGACAAGAGGTCAGCCAACTTTTACTGTAAAGGGCCAGATGGCCCTTTCCGATTTTAGGCTTGGCGGGCCATACGGTCTCCATTGTGACTACTCAGATCTGCAGTTCTGCGCTGCAGACAGGCTTTAAATGAGGCTGCATGTGACAGAGACCCAAAATAAGGGTGATTTAAACAAGATAGAGGCTTATTTCTCTCTTACGTGATAGTATGGAAGTGGATATTCTAGGGCTGGTATGATGACTGCTCCATGAAGTCATCATGGTCCAGGGACCCACGGTCAAGGGATCCATCCTTTTGCTGTCTTGCTGCTCTGCCAGCCCATATCTTGCTCTCATGGCCCAAGATGGCTGGATACCACGTCCACACTCCAGGCAGGGAGGTAGAGGAAAAGGCATGTCCCTCTCTGAAGCCTGAGAACTCTACCCAGAATTTAGCCAGAACTCGGGTCACAGGGCCACACCTAGCTGCAAGGGACCCTGGGGAATGGGAGTGTTTGTAGCTACCATGTACCTAGCTAAAAATTGGGAGACATCTATCAGTCTCTACCATATCTATCTCAGCTATGGGCTCTAAAAACATCCCTCAGTTCATCCATCTCCTGTTGAGTTCATAGGTGTTGAGAATGGTTTGATCCCTATTCAGCTGAATTCCTGAGACCAGACAAAATCCAGGTCTCCTACTCCTCCGCCATCTTGCTCCGCCCCCTATCCCTCGGTTCAGATAGACTCTGTGATTATTGTATGCAGGGCATCAACCATTGTCACTAAAGGGGGCAGGACAGGTAATCCAAAGTCCTGACCACACTCAGCACGAGGCCCGGTGGGACTCGGCCCAGGGTTAGGCTTTTCAAGAGCTGAAAATAGGATCTTAATGGGAGCTCTCCCAATGTTGGCCAAATACAACAGGAAACAGAAGGTATCTCTGTTTGATTTCAAACCAGATTCCCTGCAGGGCCAGGCCAGCTCTGACCTGAGCTTCCCCCTCCCTGTGCCCTTCTTTTTATTTTATTTATTTTGAAAGTGAGAGAGAGGGATGTGCGAAGGGGTGTGGGGCAGAGGGAGAGGGAGATTGAGAATCTTAAGCAGGCTCCATGCTCAGTGCAGACCCTGAAACCGGGCGGGCTCTCACGACCCTGAGATCATGACATAAGCCAGAATTAAGAGTTGGACGCTTAACCACCTGAGCCACCTAGGCATCCCCACCCTGTGCCCTTATATTTTCTGGGAATTCCTGCTCAAGAGCCAGAGTTCCTTGTTTAGACATTTTAATGTAGGTCTTTTTTGTTTTTAGATACTATTTGTTAATTTTATTCATGTCATCTCACTTACACATCTAGAAAATATTCCATGACCAGAATAGTACATAAAATTATTTAAGCGGGCAATAGATTACTGGGGGGGGAGCCCCAGTCCATCCAATACCATGGCCTCTCCGTGAGTGGGAAAGACTGACAGGGTGGTAGAAGACAAGGACTTGAATTGCAACCCCCACGTGACTCAGAGTACAGCCCCCAACTTTGCTATTCTGTCTCCAAAGGCCCAAGTTGCTCCACGTCTGGGACCCTTCCAGTGACATTACAGGCCCCGCAACACCTCACCTTCCCTGCCCCCTTTCAGGCACACATCCAGGGGAATTTGCTCCTACAGCTCATGCCACCCGTCTGGGAAGAATTAAAGGTGATTACACAATCTGCAGCTAGTTGTGATTTCAAACTATTTAATTGGGAATGAGGGAGATACAAATAACAGTTTTCCCTTTTGCTTGCTCATTTTTTTTTTTTTTAAACAAAAGATTTCACTAATTTCACTATATCCCTGAAGGCCTTTGTGTCCTCCAAAGACTGAAGCTGTAGATGAGCATCTTCTGGGTCCTACTTATCAGGAGTCCTTTGCCTGTCCAGGGAGGGAAGCAAATCCTTCCAAGGCCCCCGTCCCATATCAGAGGTGGGTTCTAGCAGCCAAAGAACCCTCCCCCACACCCATTGCCCTAGGGAGGGCTTAGCCCTCACTCAGAGCTCCCCCCGGGCATGCCGGATGTAGTGTTGATGCAGCCCAGCTTCCTGGGCAAAGTCCTGACCACACTCAGTGCAGGCAAAAGGGCCGGGAGGGGTGCGGGTCTCATGCGCCTGGCGGTGCCGCCTCAGAGAAGCAGCCTGCCCAAAGGTCTTGCCACAGTCAGGGCAGGGGAATGTAGGCTGGGCAGCGGTGGGCACCACTGGCGTGGAGGGCCTGGCGGCTGGACCGTGGCTGCGCTGATGGGCGATCAGGGCCTTGGAGGAGGGGAAGGACCGGGCGCAGGTGAAGCAGATGAAGAGGGCCCCCTGCAGCTTCTGGGCCACGAAATCCGCTGGGTGCTCCCGCTTCATGTGACGCTCCTGGAACTTGGAATCGGCGAAGGTGATGAGGCAGCGGGTGCACTGCGGGGCCCCCAGGTGGCCTGAGGGACGTGGGGAGAGGTCGGGGGGAAGCCAGCAAGAGTCACCAGGACCTCTCCCAAGCCCCAGAGTCATGCCAACAATTCACATTCAGGGCTTACCATGTGCCAGGCTATATGCCAGGGCTGGACAGTGGCACAGGCAAACTATTACAGGACCTGTTTTATGGATGAGCAGGCTGAGGCTCAGAAAGGCCGGGCAACTTGCCTACAGTCATGAGGCCGGGAAATGAAATGGTGGAGTCAGGACTGGAACCCGGGGAATCTGCCCTTCCAACAGAGCCCCGTGGTTAGAGCACAGTCTCTGGAGCCAGAACGCCTGGCACTGAATTCCAGATCTACCACTTCCTAGGCAAGTACAAGTTTCCTCATCTGGAGAATGGGGTCATAACCACATCAGTATGGCTACAACTGATCAGTACGGTTATTACTATCTCATTGGGTTGCTGGAAGGAGTAAATGAATTAATTCATATAAAGTGCTTAGAAGAGTGCTACACAGTGGTTTGCAATTATTAGTATTGAGAAAGAGAAAAGCAGCTTGACAGCCGGGGGCCGGCCTGGCGCTCGCAGCTAGGCCTTGGTGTTCTCCTGTTGAACATAAGCAGTTTCACAGAACCTCGTCAGACAAGGCCATGCTGTGACTGAGATGAATCAAGTCAAGACCATGCCAGAATAACGTCTGAACACAGACAAAACATGAACGTTGTCCAAGCCACAAGAAAGACCAAACACCCCGCTATCCTGGCTCTTAGGAGGGGCTGCTGCTGCTTTATCAGTCGCAGCTTGAGCCTTTGTGTCTCCCTCCTAGATAAGATCTGACCACCCTATCTTTTGCACCTGCTTACCAGGCAGCATCTAATTCTGGAGCAAAACCCTTCCTTGAACCCTTCCCCAAACCACCTAAGATAAATCCTTTCTAACACGGAGAGGCCCCACAGCGCCCCAGGGCATGTGTGCTTCCTCAGTGCAAAGAGCGATAAACCCAACTCGTTCCAACTGTAGGGTGTGTTCCTGGTGGTCTTTGGCTGAAGGGCCTTGACACTGGGGCTGTCCTTGTCACAGATAACCTCTCCTTGCCTGGGTCCGACAGGAGGACTGGGATAACGAAGGTTAAAAGCTTACAAAGCGCCCATAAGCATCAAGAGCCTTCAGTAGAAGCTGTTGCTATCATGCTCTGTCAAACTGGCTGCCTTCATTAACATCAGACCTTCCCCTTCTCTGCCCCAATCCCCATTACAGCCGTGTCACCTGAGTAGTGGCAACCTCTCTTGACATAGGGAAACCCAAGCCCGAGTCACACCGAAAGTCTGGGGCGGAGTTGGGCCTGGAACCTTGGGGCTCCTCTGCCAGTGCCCCACTTTTCCCAGCCACATCTCCCACCCCAAGCCTCTCTGGATGCCACTTTGTTGCCCTGAACTGCAGCCCACTCGAACTTACGTGGACAAAGCAGGGTGGGTACATCTGAGCAGAATGAGGGTAAGGGTGGAGAGTGGCAGTCCCTGGTAGGGCAGCTTAGAAGCCATTTATTAGAGACCCTTCCCAGCAGGCAAGTGCTTGTAACGCCTGGGACACTGAAATGCTATAGAAATACCTTTAGCTAGCATCAGCTCCAGCACCCCACCCTCCTCTGGCCAGCAGCACTCACAGATGTCGCCTCCTGGACTGCGGGGACTCCTCTCCTTGGACGAATCCTGCTGCTCCATGGTCTCTTCAGGGTGCGGGTCCTCCATAGTGACTGGGATCCCTCTGGTCAAGAGAGTAGCACGCATGACAGAATAGTAAATCAAGTGAAGTCGCTCGTTTATCGACAGCACTAAAGGGCCCGCTAATCCCGTGACTTCTGACGGGCTCTCCTTGCCCCCATAAGATGCCATCCTCTTGAACTCTAACCTGATGGAGCTGTTCCCTAGGGAAGCTTCGACCCTCCCAAAAGGGTCGACTCCCTAGGTTTGTGACACCCCTTCGAGCCTTCTCACCTGTATGAGACCTATGGCCTCCTACATCAAACTAACTCCCTGAACTCGGCATGGAACCCTTGAGCTTTGACACCAGCCTCATCCCCGTCTCCCACGTGTCTTGAGGCCGGTGCTGGCATCCAGGCTTTAGCCCGCCTCTTCCCGGGAGGCATCTTTCTCTGACATCCTGTAACCCTCGCGTTCCACCCAGGGCCCCCGCCTCCCACGCGCGCCTTCAGCCTTCGCCCCGAGCACTGCCCTCGGTTCCCTCCTCCCGAGGCGGGTAGCCCAGGCCTCCGTTTTGCTCCAGACGGCAGAGGGCTGCCTTTCGTTGCGCCTGTCAGTCGCTCGTCACAGCGCCGCCACCCGGAGGGAAGCGGGGTGGGGCCCACCGAGTCTTAAGGTCCCAGTGGCTTCCACGCCCTTTCGCCTGATGAGCCTCTCGAAGCCCAGGCCCGGCATGCTATCCGGCAGTGATGCAGTCTCGCCAACCGGGTCCTCAGAGTAACGGGAGGGGTCCTTTTCTGCACTGGGGTGCGTTATGATGACGTTGCAGGCCCCGGTGCCGTACAGACCTCAGCTTCTTGCGCCACTGTGGCCAGGCTCTCCTGGCGCGCAGGCGCCTTGACTCCTTCATTGTTCCGAGCCTTGCGGCAGCAGGACCCCCATAAGGAGCGGGCGTACGTCGATGGCTTTGCGCAGGCGCCGTGAAGGGCTGTAGCCCCGAGGTCACGCTTCCAAGACACACCCTCTCCTTAAAAGAGTGACGTCAGGTTAGAGCCCCCGGAACGTGTCCGGACGTCCCCAAATCCCGGCCCTCTAACCTCTTCGGCCTCCGTCCGCCAGACCCCAGGGGCGGGGCTTCTCGGCGGCTGATAAGTCGCCGCCGACTGAACTCTCAGGTTGTGTCGGCGGTTTGCTCGGTTAGTGATTTGGAAGGGAGGTGTGGGGGATAGAAACATCTATGTCCCTGAGGAAGAAGAGGGCTGGAGGCCCGATTTTGAGAATTTGAAACAAAAATGTATCCAGAAAGAGGGCGGATAAGATGCCCTTATCCCTGGGGAAAAAGTAGGGCGTGGGTGCCGGATTTTTCCCTGGGAGTGACATCCAAGAAGGGAAGGGGACGGGGTGAAGGACTGAACTCTGAGACCAGAGTGGGATGACAAAGAATGAACAAGGCTGAGTGCTCCCTGACCCGGGTCTGCCCCACCCCCTTGCTTTCCAGGTATGCCACCGCCACGGGGTGACGTGACCGCCTTGTTCCTGGGGCCTCCGGGCTGTGGCAAGTCCGCGCTGATTGCAGCGCTGTGCGACGGGAATGTGGAGACGATAGAGATTCCCGAGGGACGGCCGGACTCCGGGATCCCCAGCCTGCGAGCTGCCGGCCCTGGCCTTTTCCTGGGCGAGCTGAGCTGTCCACCCGCAGCGCCAGGGCCCTGGGCGGCGGAGGCCAATGTGCTGGTATTGGTGTTGCCCGGCCCCGACGGGAACGGGGAGCCCTTAGCCCCAGCGCTGGGAGAAGCAGCGCGGGCCGCCCTGGCCGGAGGGACCCCGTTGCTGGCTGTGCGGAACCTCCGTCCTGGAGATTCGGAAAATGAAGCTCAGGCCCGGGATGAGACAGAGGCCCTGCTGAACAGCGCAGGGTTGGGGGCCGCGGCTCTCTTCGTGCTGCCGGCCGACTGCGGCAGCGGAGATGGCTGCAAGGAATTGGAGCGCCTGCGGGTGGCGCTGCGGAGCCAGGCGGAGGTGCTGCAAAGGTGAGCGAGGAGTTGGGGTGGGTTGGAGGCCTGGTCTTTTAGACTTCGCACTCAGAAAATGTTCTTTGAGATCCGCGAGACCCCACCCCCAGCAAGCTTGGGGCAGGCGTTAACAGGATAGCTGCTGGGGGCCCTGCTCTCTCGTCCAGATCCCACCCCTCAGCGCAGGTTTTGAGGTCAGCGAGGCTCCACCCCAAGCCCAAGCTCAGTGCTGGACCCTTTCCCCACTTCTAGGCCTCACCCCATCCAAGGGTCAGCTATAGGTTCCGACCTGTCCTCCAGGTTCGTCCTCCTGCCAGTGTTCTGAGGTCACAAGCCCTGCCCCAGTGAGAATTTTAGGAGAGGCCAGGACCTAAAGCCCAAATACTACCTCCCTCCCCCGCAAAAGTTTGAAGGAGGGCCCACTCAGCACACAAGCTTGTGATGCCCGCGAAGGTTTTACCCTAGGAGTCACACTTTTTCTTTGAGCCCTCCTCGCCCTCCCCATCATCAGCTTTGTTCTCCAGCTACACCAGTCCTTGTAAAGCCACACCCTCAGTGAGCCTTACTATTTCTGGGATTGCTCCCCCACCGCCTTTCTCTAATCCCGTCTCGTTTCTATGCCCATTTGCTGGCTACCTTCTGAATTTTTTCCCCCATCCCCTGGCCACCTATTTCATAGAAGTCACATGAGGCTCAGTGTGCATCATTTTCCTTAGCCACATCTCCTTCTTTGGTAAGCACTGATAGGTGAGGCTTTTCCCCTCTTTGGTCCTTATTCCCTTCCTTACGCCTAGTCTCAGCAAAGAGCGCCCCGGGTGACCTTGCTCTGGTCGGAAGGTGCTTGACTTTTCTTTAGTCCACAATTCTAAGTTGCAAGCCTGTTTTTGCCTGAGCCCGACCTTCGGTGAGTTTTGCTTGGCCTTTCTTAACCCTGCAGGTCCCTTGGAAAAGCCCCCCCCTCCCCTCAAAAGCTTGAATCCCAGAGAAGATTTAGCGGGTTCCCCCTTTTAGGCTTTGTTGGAAACCTGACCTCAACGAACCTGCCCCACCCCTGTTTTAAGCCCTGGTTTCTATATGCTGTACCATTAGTCTGGCCCCTCCCTCTTCTTTCAGGGATCATTCGGAAAATTCCACCCTTATCATCCGAGCCTAGTCCTGTCCGCATAGCACCGCCCTCTAGCGTTTAAACCCTCTTCCTGCCCTTTACCCTCCCTCTTCCTGTTCCTTCAGGCTCCTTCCACCCGCTCAGGATGGCTTCGAGGTACTGGGTGCGGCAGAGCTGGAGGCTGTGCGTGAGGCCTTTGAGACCGGTGGCCTGGAGGCGGCGCTGTCGTGGGTTCGCGCTGGCCTGGAGCGCCTGGGCAGCGCGCAACTGGACCTGGCTGTGACCGGCAAGGCAGATGCGAGCCTTGTGCTGAACATGCTACTTGGGTTGGATCCCACTGACCCAGATGACGAGCCTGTTTTCACGCCCCCGGGGCCCACGCCCTACCCCGCCCCAGAGCGTCCCAACGTGGTGCTCTGGAACGTACCTCTGGGCTCCGCGGGCACTGCTGCCGCCCCCTATCCGACCCACTACGACGCCCTCATCCTCGTCACCCCGGGGGCCCCTACTGAGAAGGACTGGGCTGAGGTTCGGCCCTTCGTGCTGCCAGATGCGCCGCTGGTCTGCGTGCGAACAGACGGTGAGGGCGAGGATCCAGAGTACCCGGAGGAAGAGGAGAAGGCAGAGAAGCCCAGCTCCGAGAGCTCAGAGAACGCAGGCGGAGAGGGGTTGAAGAATGCACGCAGTGAGGGAAGGGAGAGCCGTGGCACTGGATTGCAGAAAGGTAGCGGGGAAGAGTCTGAGAAAGCAGGCAGCGGGGAAGGTTCAGAGAAGGCAGGCAGTGAGAGTTTGCCGCGTGTTGGCGGCGGCGCGAAGAAATCGGGCAGTGGGGACTCAGAGCGTGCGGCCGCACTGAGCCCGGAGGATGAGACATGGGAGGTGCTGGAGGAGGCACCGCCGCCCGTGTTCCCCCTGCGGCCTGGCGGCCTCCCCGGGCTCTGCGAGTGGCTGCGGCGCGCGCTCCCCCCGGCCCAGGCGGGGGCGCTGCTGCTGGCGCTGCCACCTGCGTCTCCCCACGGGGCGCGGATGAAGGCTGCGGCGCTGCGGGCCGGGGCGTGGCGGCCGGCTCTGCTGGCTAGCCTGGCGGCGGCGGCGGCCCCGGTACCAGGGCTAGGCTGGGCGTGCGACGTGGCGCTGCTGCGGGGCCAGCTGGCAGAGTGGCGGCGGGCGCTGGGGCTCGAACCCGCGGCGCTGGCTCGACGCGAGCGCGCGCTAGGCTTGGCCCCCGGGGAGCTGGCAGAGCGGACGCGCTTCCCGGGCCCCGTGACGCGCGCCGAGGTGGAGGCGAGGCTGGGCGCGTGGGCGGGCGAGGGCACTGCGGGGGGCGCGGCGCTGGGCGCCCTTTCCTTCCTGTGGCCGGCGGGCGGGGCGGCGGCCACCGGCGGCCTGGGTTACCGCGCCGCGCACGGTGTCCTGCTGCAGGCCCTCGACGAGATGCAGGCCGATGCCGAGGCGGTGCTGGCACCCCATTGGCCCGCGCAGTGAGGGGAGGGATGAGGGTCGGGGCTTCCGGGGTGCTCAGCGTCCGTGCTGCTTGGCTCCACCAGGGGCTGAGGACTCCCAGGTCCCGCTTGGGGGGGGGTTGGGGGTGGAGTTGGGAGTCCAGAATCTGGCGTCGGATGTCTGGGCCTCTGAGGTAACAGAGCTGGGGGCCACCACCCAGAATCCTGGGTGCCTGAAGGCGATGAGGGCTCTAGGACTACGGACTGGGATGCGTGACTTGTAGTGTCCTGGATCCCTAGGTCCTGAAGGGGAGTGGGGTCTGGGGGAGAGAACTGATTTCCCTGGGGACCGCAGGGCATGACTCCAGACTGTGTCCTGAAGGAAGTTGAGGGGTTGGACTCCTAGAAGGGGTTCTGTCCTGGTCTCCAGGGGAGTAGAAACTGGATCTGTTGGTCCTCTAGCCCTGGGAGGGGGGAGAATAGGTGAAAGCCCTGGTTCCTGATGAAGAGGGTCTCCATCATCCTGGAGATCCAGTATGGAGGAAGGAGTCTGGGTACCCCAGGGAGCCGGAATCCTTGGAACTGCTGAGACACATGGGGATATAGGATCCAGGCTTCCCAGAGGGAATGGGTCTGCATCCAGCCTCCCAGTTCCTCAAGAGGGTGGCTTTGAATCTTCCCTGGACCTTGGTTTCTAATTCCTGGGTGGTGGGAGGTCTCCATCTACAGGAGGGAACAGGGGGCTGTGCAAAAGAGCTGGAGAGCCTTTGGTCCCCCTTGAGGAATAGAGAGATACCTAATATTTGCTGCTCCAGGGGACTGATGACCCAGATTCCTTTCCCAGCTGTTGTGGGGAGGATGGTCCCACAAAAATGAGGGGAGGAGGCGAGAGGTCTGGGCATGGTAGCCAGAGACCAGAAATGAGGCCTTCTAGGTGTGGAAGGGCAGGAACCCATACCTCAGAGGTACCTCCCACAAATCATGGATTTCGACCCTGGCAGTTGTCTCTCTCTGTCTGTGTGAGTTTGGGAAGGGATATGACTGCCCCTTTTCATAGGTGCTGAGTGATTCAGGGGCTCTTTGGTGAGTCTTTTCCTTTGTTCCTCTCTCCCTTAGTGGTTTCTATCTCTTTTTGGTCTTGATTTGTTCCGACATTAAGCCTAACCCTTTCTGGCCTTGGTATTTTATACTCCTGCCTTTTTTGGAAAAGCAGCTGTCGTACTGCAGTGATCCAGACATTTCTGTGTTGGCGACCTCAGGTGTCACCAAGAGGTTCTGCCTTCTGGTGTACACACAGTGCTGCAGAGGGCAAGAGACCCACAGAAAAGCTAGGGAGCGTTCCAGACCGTGGGAGTGTGCCATGAGTGAAGCAAAGCCAGAAACCACAGTGCCTGGAATGTTCTAGGCTGCCAATGATAGGTAGAAAAGACGCCACAGGTCACAGAATTCTTCAGTGTCAACAAACAGAAAGGGAACCGAAAGGCCATTAAGTAGAGTGAATCTCTTTTATGAGAGATGGGGAGAGCAAAGCCCAGTCAGGGCAGGCTCTAGGCCCAACAGCACACAGCAAGGTCCTACGTGGTCTGGCCCCTGCCTTTTCACATTCCCTGCCCCCCCCATCCCCCAACCAGCCTGATCTTCCTTCTGATGCCTGGGTGGGCCACCTTGGATCCTACCCCAGGACCTTTGCATTTGCTGTTCTTCGTAGAATGCTCTGCCCCCAGATCTTCCCATGGCTGGTTCCTCCTTGTCAAGCAGGTCTCAGCTCACATGTCCCCCCAGAGAGGCCTTCCCTGACCAGTGTAACTGAAGTAGCTCACACATCCCCATTATTCATCTCAGCCCGTCAGTGTTTCTCGTGTAGCAATTATTACTGTAAACAATTACCTTATTTATTTACCTATTTAATAGCTATGATCCTCTTACCTGTCTTGTTCTCTGCTCCATCCCCAGTACCTAGAAGAGTGCCTGACAACACAGTAGGTGCTTAGTAAATACTGAATTCATTATTCCATGGCAGACTGGAACTTAGATTGTCGGCCTCTTGCCACAAGACAGGGGAAATGAGCGAGGCAGGGAGAAACAAGCATCTGGTGGGAGAGAAGCTCCTGTCGGAGGTCAGGGGATCTGGGAAGCAAGCAAGGCCTTGCCACTGGCACTCTGGGTGACTTGGACCAGTGCCTTATTTTCCCATCTGCGAAAGGAAAGGGCTGGACGAGAACCCTAAACACTTCCAAGATCCTATTTTCTTTAACAGTGGGAGACAGGGGTGACCCATCTGAGGGGCAGATACCTGCCAGATGGTACCCCCGTGTCCATCTTGAACCCCTACCACTGGCACAATTTGTCCCCTCGGAGTTGAGATGGCCGAGGTGGGGAAAAGCATTTGGCTCCATACAGAACGGCTTCAGGCATTGTCCTCAAAGGCCTTTTGGGCTTCAGGGGAGGGTGTTTGCCCATATCTGTAATATCCAGTACAACACGTGGGGAAGTGGGAGAGGCGCCCAGCAGCGCTGTCCGACAAACGGAATGTGAGCCGCATCTGTAACTTGAAATGTCCCAGCAGCCACATTAAAAAAGGTAAAAGGAAACAGAGTGAAGCTAATTATGTTTTATGTAACCCAGTAAATCCAAAATATTATTTCAACATGTAATCAATCGAGAAAAGAATGAGATATTTTACACTCAGCGTACATCGCCTTCAGATGGTAGATTTTCATCAGAAGTACCTCTATTTAACTTTCCGAAAAATTTGTCGGTGGAGAAATCGATTCCTTTACCCAAGTTGTCCCGATTATATTGACCAGTTTCCCAATAACTGAGGTGTGTATCCATTTTCAACTAAAAGTGAATAAAGTTTAAAACTCCACTTCCCAGTTAACACTAACCACGTTTCAAGGGCTCGGTAGCCACCTGTGATGTGTGGCTAGAGCGTTGGACAGCACAGACCTAGGACGCTCCCATTATCACGGGAAATCCTATTGGCACAGCTCTAGGGTCAGACAGTCCTCCAGACATTGGGGTAACCTTGGGGAAGTCACTCAGCAAATGGCATCTACCTCACAGGGTAATTGTAAGAATATGTATGTATGTATGTACATGCATCTTCACACACACACACACACAACCCGTCAGCTCACGCTGCAGCCCTTGGGAGAAGCTTGGCCCCTGGGGAGCTCCACCATAAGTCTTGTTGCCTATGCCCTGGGCCCCAGGCAGCACCCAGACAGCTCTAGTCTGGGCACCTCTGTCTCACGCCCATGCCTTTGCTCACAGTGCCCTCCTCTGTCTCTGCCACTTTTCACGCCATCTCTGATTTGGTCTTGCCTGACACCTCTACCCCATGCTGCCCTGCTCCAAATTCCCTCTGCCCTCATGCCAACGAGGGTCGTGCCAGAGATCATATCTGAGAAAGCAAAACCCAATTTTGTTTGCCTGTGTCTTTGCTGGGGAGTGCTGATTGTGTTTCTGTCGTTGTGTATTGACACTCTTGGGTGTTGTGACTAATTGGGGGGGGGTTGTCTTTTAAATTATGACTTTTGATGGAAGGCATCACGTTGCTAGCCAGGCATCTGTCTCTGGGAGCATCCAAGCAGAAAGACTTAAGACTCCCTTGAGAACTGATTGCTGGCTGCCCCCGGGGTGTGTCGACGTCGTACTTCCAGGCTGGAAGACCCTCGAAGGCAAGAATTCAAGGAAATGGATGCTAAGTCTTGGCCCTGCCGTTGCCAGAGATGATCTCATCGCCTTAGCCGAATTTCATACATTTCTGGATGATGATGAAGAGACTCGTATCCACTAGGGTGGGGAGCCTGGGAGGGCTAATCAAAGGTGTGGTTGGCCTGCGGTGCTTTTTGAAGGAGTGAATAAAAATGTGTAGAAATCCCACTCTGTGTCTCTTCTTTGGGGATTTGAAGGGGAAGATGCTTGGGATTTTGCTTCAGTCTGGGGAAGGAAGGGGCTGGAGATAGTACTGGGTCTGAAGGAAGAAGAGACCAACGGTGGGGACTCCTGGGTCCTGGGAGAGGAGTGCTGGATGGTGAGGGTCTGCTTGGGAAAGAACCCCTTGAGCTGGAATCCAGAGACTCCCAGCAGTGGGGAGGGGGAGGGTAGATGCAGGTGGAAAAGTGACATTTAGACCTTAGGGGCTTGTGACAGTAAAGCATCCCAGCCCTGGAAGCAGCTTGGCCCATTAATGCCTCTCTGTGTTCTTGGAGAGTCCCTTCTGGCTGTAGAGCTGGCCGCGTGATTTGCCTGGCCACAGGAACAACAAACAGCAAACACCATACAAGTAGACGCTTGAAAAGTGCTCACATATTAGGGCTTCCTCTCTCGCTGCCCTTGGAACCCCTGCCACGCCAAGAAGTCCAGGCTAACCTGCTGGGTGAGTAGAGGCATGTGGCCCAGTCAGTCTTGACACCCCAAGCTACAGCCAGCCAACCCTCTGAAGCAGAGCTGCCTAGCTGACAAGCTGAACCCAGCAGAAGAGCCACCCGGCTGATCCCAGACCAAAGTGCGGCCTGGCAGAATCATGAGCTAAATAAAAGGGGATTGAGTGTTCTAAGTGACTAAGTTTTGGGGTGGTTACAGATACAGCCAAAGATACCGGATATAGGCTTGTTCCCGCTCTGTGTGCTGTGGTCCTTTTTCCCCCTGGAGGTGACGCAATGATTAAAATCTTAAGCTCTGCCGCTTTGTAGTTGCATGAACTCCAATGTAACATCCCTCCTCTGAGCCTCAGGTTCTTCTGAAAACAGGGCTGAGAATAACAGTGCCTATCAGAGGGAGTTGTCGTGAAGGTAAAATGATACTCTCTGCTAGGAGGCCCTGGCAGTCATTTGTGCTGTTTACGAAACACATCCATGGTCAATGTCACCGAGCAGGATTGCACTTCCTAGCTGCCCCACCCCCCCCAAGCCTGTTGGGTTTGGTGGACCATGCAACTAGCTCCGTCCCATGAGTTATGTCAAGTCACTTCTGGGTCACAGCATTTAATCACCCACCTGAGACATCCCTGTGCTTTTTCCTGTACACAGCAATGTTCGAGTTGGTGGCTGCTCCACGATTGTGATGAGCAGAACACCCTGTGAACGGTGCTGGACATGTAGGGTGAGGGAAGAATCGACTATTTGTGAATGGGGACTTGTTCAGCAAATACTGCTCTCCTCCCTCCCACTGGAAAGGGAGCACCCTTCCTTGCTCAGTTGATGTTGGCTTTGACCATATGATTTACTTGACTCAATGGAATGTTAGCACACTGGACCTCAGTAGGGGCTTTTAATGCACTTGGGCTCTTGTGCTCTTGTGATCTGCTGTAAGAACGTTAGCCACTGATCCCAGAACTTGAATCCTCCTCCCAAACTGGAGCCAAACCAGCTAATGCAGAGCCAGCCACCCACAAACCCTCAGAAAGAAGAATGCTTGTTGTGATGGTTCAGTTTGGGGATGGTTTGTTACACAGCATTGCTGCAGCATTAGTCGACTAATACAACGTTGTTGCCTTAAACCACTGAGATTAGGAACTTGCTTGTTCCTGTAGCATAATCTGATAGAGGAGAGTGTTTAGCGCCTTCCAAGAAATGGCCACTCATTGAGTAGCAGCTCCTATGATGATTACCATGTACAGACATATTGTCTCTAGAACCAACATTGTCTTACAGGTGATAGGCACCACACCAAGTGCTTTTGCAGTTTTCTTTCATTTGACACAACAACCCAACGAGGTTATAACTATTACCATCCACATTTTGCAGACGTGAAGACAGGCAAAAAGAGGGAGAGGTTAGTCATAAGTGATCACGGACTCGGGGTCTGCCCCTCCCTAGTGGTTTGACTCAAGGGAAGTGACCACAACCTGTGGCCTCAGTTTGTTCATCTGTAAAATGGGGATAATAATATGCACTTCACAGAGTTGTTGGGATTCTGAAATGAGGTACAGCATGGAGAACACTCTGCACAGCAGCCCAGCAGGGAGCATTCCTTTAATAAACAGTAGGGTCTTCTCTCCCTTCCTTGCAAAGAGGAAGTTCCCAAGGGTTAAGACCCTTGCTTTCTGCACCCTACCTTCCTGATATGAGATGCATCATATCACAAGAACTCAGGCTTGCTTTGTTAACCTGTTTAATGTATACGCACATGGGGAGGTGTAGGCTGAGGACAAATGGAGACCTCAAGCCACATATTCCTCAGTTCTTCACTCCGCCCTGCCAGGGGCCTGGGGGGCTGGAAGGCAGTCTGCTCGGCGGAGGAAGTAGAGATAGGAGGCTGAAGGCACCTGGGCCCCAGCCTTAGCGTAGCAGGCACTCTCTGTAGCACAGCCCCGAGTGGCAAATTTGGGGTTGATGAGACCTGGGAAGGGGATTTCAGAATGGAGTCGGCCCCTGCCCCTGCCTTCCTCACCACCCAGGGGTCTTCTCACCACCCCCACCCCCCCCACACTGCTCCACTCCGCATGTCCTCACCCAGTTCCCTGGAGCTACCATCTCCCCTAGAACCTGGCAGTATGGGCTTCCAGTTCTGGGGCCCTGTCCCCTCCTCTAGAGATCCAGGTTCCCCTCACCAGCCTGCACGTTGCCAGCGAAGTAGACGCAGTGGGTTTCCTGGCCAACACAGCGGGCTGCCTGGGTCCCAGGGCATGTCTCCTGAAAGGGCACGATGCAGGCTGGGCACTGGAGACCGTTCTCGGTGCGATTGTTCTGGGGAGCTGGGGATGAGGGTGCAGTGTAAGGTGCGGAGATGAAAGCCTTCCCTCACCTCACAACAACCCCGGGGGTGGGGGTGGGGGAGGGACATGGGCTGCGAAGGGACACTGCCTTTCCAGGTAAGCAAACTGAGGGGCACGGCAAGCAAGTTGGGCAGTGTCTGAGCACCAGGCAGAGGCAGGCCGGGGCACACAGAGCGGGCTCTGGGGGTGGCTGGAAGAAGCGAGTCCCGATGCGGGGCTGAGCTGGCACTCACGGGGCACGGAGCCACGGTTACAGCCATCACTCTGGCAGCAGAGGGTGTTGGACACCATGTAGTCCTTGGGGCCCATCGTGGTGGACACGAATCCCGAGTAGCAGTCGCTGTACTTCATGCAGCCCTTGTAGGTGTTCAGAGCGTGATGGCCCTCTGAAGGATGGGGGGAAGGAAGGGAGGGCTCCCGCAGCGCCCGCTGACCCCACTCCAGCGCGGACCCCGGCCTCGGTGAGAGGGGGGTCTCCCAACCCTGCACTTCCCACACCCCCGCGACTGCCTTGGATGGTCTCTTCCAGCGCCCCAAAGCCATGCCCCTTTATTTGCCTGGGGTATGGTCTGGAGTAGTTTATAAAGTGGCGCCCCCGCCACCCGCCCCGTTACCATAGCCCCCAGTCTGCCCTGATGGCTTCTTGCAGCTCCCCATTGCCAAGCCCAGGTGCCGGCCTGACCGGGTCCCTTGTGCCCCGCCCCACTGCCTTCTTCCAAAGGCCCTGCCTAGGCTTGTGCGAAATGGTCTCTCCCAGCCTTCTCCACCTTCGCCCTCCCCCTGCACCTTCCAAATCCCTTCCAACAAACCCTGGGAGGCCACCCCCAACCCCACCCTGCAACACCCATATCCTTTAAGGTGGTCTATGCTGCCCCCCACGTCTTGGCTGCAGTGGTCTCTTCTAGTCTCCGTGGTCTTCCCCCTCGCGACCAACTGGTGGTCTCTCCCAACCCAATCCAAGGATTTTCCTCATCACCCCCTAAAAGGTGCTTTTTCCCCACCTTCCTCTCCCCCAGTGCCAGGGTTTGAATCTCCCTCCTGTAAGCCTGGGGTCGTCTCTCCAAGCCCTTCGGATCCTTTCGCCCACCGGCACGCCGGCTCGCCGGGTAGGGCAGCGTGCAATCCTCTCTCCCACCCTCCTCACACCCCCCCTCCGGTGGGGCGTGGTTTCCTCCTACACTCCAGGTGGCCCTCAGCTCCTGCCGCCGCCTTCACACCTGCCTCGGCCCCATCATCTCTCCAGTGCCTAATGAATGGTCCTTTTCAGCTTTGAATGAAAAACCCTGCGCTCCTCCCCGCGCCCCCCGCCGTGGTCTCTTCATCGCTCCCCTTCTCCCCCATCCTTTCTCGGGTCTGGGGCGGTCCCTTCCATTGAAGTCACGCCCTCCTCTCCCAATTCCCCCACCTGCCTCCCCATCTCCCTCTACTTCTCTTCACGACGATTTGCTTCATAGTGCAGGGTTCTCTTTCCTCTCCTGTCTGGCATGGTCCCTTTTATGTCTCTCTCTCTCGACCTCCTCCTGTCGGGAATGGTCCCTTCCAGCCCGCACCACCCCCACCATCCCCGGGGCGGGGGTGCGGTGGGGTCTGTTCTTCCCAATTTGGACGATTCCTCCCTCTCACCCTAAATGGTCAACCTGACCACATTCTCCCCAACTCACCCCAGCGTCTTCCTTCTCTTCCGTTCCTACCCCGCCCCCATTCTACCTCCTGCCTGTTAGATTCTACCCCCTCCCCTGTTCTGTTCCCCCATGTCCTTTCCTCTCCTCACCCCCACCTGCCTTAGAAGGTCTCTATATCCGCCCCCGCTCCCCCCACCCCAATCGAATATTTTGGAGAGCCTCGTTTTCCGAAATCCCTGAGAACAATGGTTTCTATCATCCCGTTGAATTCGCTTCCTTCCACCCACCACCTCAGGATAGTCTCTCCCTCTTCCCTGACGTCCCACACGAGCACCGTGATGATCCCTCCCGTGGCGTGAAGCTATCTTCTACCCTTGAAGGCACAACCACCTCCCCAGGGTGTGACGCCAGGCCCTCCTCGTACTTGTGCTCGACTCCCCGACGATGACCACGCATGCGTCCTTGCCGGCCTCGCAGGCCTTCATTTTTCCACTGCACGTGGGCCCGGAGCCCCGGCACACTTCACAGCTCAGCGGGCACCCTGCAGTGTAGAGAGCCAGGCTGTCGACATGAGGGGCATGGTCAGCGGACCACCAGTGAGACTTCAGGGTCCAGAGGGAGATGGGGCAAAGGGGGCCGGATCTGGAGTCCTGAGGGAGGAGGGACAGGTGTCTCCCTAATTGTTCAGGGGTGGAGCACGGACCGCTGTCCAGGGAGCTGTCCAGGGCCCTTGCTGGGACGCGGTGGTGAAGCCAGCAAAGCTGCTTCCAGGGGCGGGAAGCGACTCCACCAGGGAGCCTGTTTCCCTAATTACAAGGCTGGGGACTTGGGACGCTAGGGTCCTCTGAGAAGGCTGGGGGACAGGGAGGGGTCCTGGCGAAGCTTTCCAAGGGCTTTTGTGAAGCTTCAGGTCCAGCTGTTTCTTGGACACAAGACCATGTGTAGGTCTTGGGGATGGTAGGAGCTCAGGCAGGGGAACCTGAGGCTGGGGTCTTCATCCCAGATCAAGAAGGATGAGTCAAGACCAAGAGGGCAGAGGGCATGGACTCCTTGGTCCTAAGAGAGAAGGCAACTGGGGGCCCAGACATGGGTCCTGGGGAAGGTGGAACTTGTCTGAACTCCGGCATCTAAGGGAAGGGGGGCTGGGGGTCTGAACTCTAGAATCCAGGGAGAAAGGAAATCTCTACTCCCGCATCCCGCCCTTCCCCCAGTTTCTCCCCCCACCCCCTTTCTAGTCATGCTCTCATCCAATTTCCTAGACTTCATGTCTTATTTGGAGACCTTGCCTGGGGGGAGAGAGGATTCAGAGCCCACCAAGCTCCCTCCTTTCTCAGGGATCCAGTCACATGAACTTTTGAGCTTTTCTTCCCTTGAGGCCCCAGGCTTTCTCTTCCTTCAGACCCTGCCTTCACCATGAATCTGAATTCCCAGGACACCACCTCTTTTCCCCCTCCAAGATCTTGCTGAGTGCTCTCTCATGGTCCTCAGGGTCCAGATCCCTTCTCACTTACCCAGACCCAGGAGGGTGCAGAGCAGCGTGAAGGCCAGCAGGAAGGTCCCCGGTTTCATGGGAGTCCTCATGGTGAGTGAACCTGTAGTCCCAGGTCCCCAGCCCTTATAGGAAGCTGAGGAGGGGCGGGTCTGGATCCACCTTCACCCTGAGGTGAGAAATAGCTGAGGTAAGATCTCAGGGCAGGCCTTTGTGGCTCTGCGTTGGGGATATGGAATCAGAATCCAAAAGGGACCTGGGCATCTCATGCTCAGCCACCTGCTCCACAGAGACCCCAGCACTCTGGGCTTCTGGCCCCCTCTTCCATCAAGACCCAGAAGGTCACCTTCCTGTTTTCTCACATTCCCACTGCCCTCCTCTCCCCATCTTTTCTGGCCTGAAGCCCAAGGTCAGAGTCGGGTCACTTGATTCCCTCTAGGTATAGGGTGGCTGCTAGGACTGAGATCCCCTCTCTCTTCCCTCTCTTTCCAAGGAGGCGCCCAGCGTGGGTGGGGCCCTACTTGGGAGGGCCCAGCATGTCCAGGCTCGTTCTGCGGGGGACTAGGCGCCCTGTCTCTCTTCCTTCTTCGTGCGCTTGGCTCATATTCCCTGTTCTGTGTTTGGGCTGTCCCCAGCTCCGACCCCGCCTGGGGCTGCACCTCTGGGTCTCACGGGGACCGAACAGAGGGATGCCTGTCAACAGGCAGGGGCGGGCGTGGTAGGAGACAAATGCCCGCAGGTCACATATTGGGAACCCGAGGCATCGGTGAAAGCATGCTACGTTGGGTGTATCTGGTTTGGATGCATGCTTTGGGTCTTATTTAGGTCTTTGATCCACTCTCTCTTCGCCTCAGGCATAACCCTAGAGAGATCGGAGATTTTGTTCGTGTGTGCATGGTGGTGGTGGTGGGGGGGTAGCGGGGAAGAGTGTAACCGCAGGAACCCGTGGAGAGGATCCCGTAGCGGTATGTTCCAGGTTCCCTAGGAAAAACCAGTCGGGTCTGCGTCCTCCTCTTTTCTAAGGCTTCAGTTTGGGCGGTGACTGCATCGCCCAATGAGAACGGCGAATTTTTTCTAGGGGCCAATCCTGGAGGCCGCTCCTGTTGCCAGGCGCCCAGAAAGCAGGGTGTGAACGACACCGGGAGGCGGAGCTTAGAGGAAAGCCCGTTGCTAGGGAACTAAGCGCCTCGCTCCGGAGAGGCGAGACTGGGCATGCGCGGCGTCGACGCGTGAGCCGGCGCGCCGCGGTTTGAAAGGCCCGAGGCCTGTGCGCTTGCGCACTTCAGCCCGCGCAGGGCGCACCCCCCCCAACACCCCCCCCCAAACTCGGACCTTCTTTCATCCTTCGCGCCAGGCGAAGCCCAAGACGTTGACATGCCGGAGATCCGTCTCCGTCATGTGGTGTCCTGCAGTAGCCAGGACTCGGTGAGGAGCTGGCTTGGGAGGAGGTTGGAAGACGTCAGGGAATCCATGCGGGGGCACCACAGGAACTTTGGGAGAGTGAAAGGGAACTTCACGGAAGTCTGTGGCGGGTCATGGGGGAATTCCAGGAGGCTCTGAGGGAATTCTGGGAGAGATGTGGAATAGGGGAACTTCCGGTCAGGAAAGGAGGCACTGGGGAGCATCCCGGGGAAAATGTTACAGGGGACTCGAGGCAGGGTGTGGGGGGATTAATGGGGAATTTTAAATCTGGGGCAGCGCAGAGGGCTCGGGAGGACTCAAAGGAATAATGTGAGAGCCGGGGACCGAGCTCTCTTCCCTGTACCCTTACTTTCCCTTTTCCACGCTTATCTCCAGACCCACTGTGCAGAAAACCTCCTCAAGGCGGACACTTACCGAAAATGGCGAGCAGCCAAGGCAGGCGAGAAGACCATCTCTGTGGTGCTCCAGGTGATCCTGCCCTCCCCCTGTCTCCTTCCTAATAGGAGTCTGGAGACTCAAGGTCCAGACACGGCTCTTGAGCCAACTGGCAGTGGGTTAAGACACTTTCCCTTCTGGACTTCAGCTTCCTTACCTGGAAAATGGGCAGTGTGATTGCTGTGCCCCTTAGCAGAGGACAAAGGTGGCCCAAGGACTAGGCCAGGATGACCATAGGAATCAATGTGTGGTTGCTTTTACTTTCTGGGCCTCAGATTCCTCAGCTGGAACAGGGTGAATCATTTTCACTATCCTGCCTCCTGAAGTCAGTGGGCTCCGGGCTGGAAAGTGTCCCCGAAGTTCATGGAAACCAATCAACCCCATTTTAAAGATGGGGAAACTGAAGCGGGAGGTGGGGAGGAGTGACGTGGTTAGGCTAAGTGCCATTCTAGAATGCTTGCCAGGTTCTTCTGAGTGCTCTCACCCACTCTTCACCCCAGTGCTGTGAAGTTGGGGGGAGGCACGGAGGAAAGTGTGGTTTGACCCCATATGGTTACAGAATTCCAAGCGGGCTGTTCCTGTCACGGATAAGAAACTGGTGGGAGGAGAGAGCTAAGCATGTTTGAAGCATCTGCTCTGTGCTGGGTACTGGCCTGGATGATCTCACTGTTCACAGGCACAGTGTGACACAAGGGCCCTTATCACCATCAGTCATTGGCATGCTAAGACTCAAACCCACATTGGTGCTCTGAACACTTTGTCACACTGCTTTGTGTTCACACGCTGGCTTTTTTTTTTTTTTTAAGATTTTATTTATTTATTTATTTATTTCACAGAGAGAGAGAGAGACACAGCGAGAGAGGGAACACAAACAAGCAGGGGGAGTGGGAGAGGGAGAAGCAGGCTTCCCGCTGAGCAGGGAGCCCAAGGCGGAACTCGATCCCAGGACCCTGGGATCATGACCTGAGCTGAAGACAGACCCTTAACGACTGAGCCACCCAGGCGCCCCCAACACACTGGCTTTCTTGATCTTGGCCCTACTCCTTCTGAACGTAGGGGTGTTTGGGGAGGGATGTTGCGGAGCAAGGCTTACATGATTGTGTCGAACCTTTTCTTGGTCTCTCTTTTGCCCAGTGGTTCTGAAAAAGTTTGAGCTCACAGAGCCTTTTTAGAATTAGAGAGAAGCTGAGGATTCTCGCCCCAGGAAAAATACGCAGACCTATAAGACTTTCTGATTTTAGAAGTTTAAACATCTCCTCAGTCCCTAACAGAGTAATAATAATGAGAGCTGACATTGGTTCAACGTTGCAACTGCCAGTTATGGTTTTGAACACCTCACATGGATCAACTCATTGAATCTATAAAAACCCCATGGCCTAGAGTCTAGTATTATCTCCATTTGAGAGATGAGGAAACTGAGTCCCAGAGAGGTTATGCCATTTGATTAAAGCCAGTGTTTAAAACTGAGGAGGTACAAAACAAATAAATATATAAACTGAGGGAGGGACAAGTTGTTCACGATTTAGTCTTGGGACATGGATTCAAGTCCCCATCTCTCCCTCTTACTCATTCTGTGACCTCAGGCACATTTTTCCATTTCTCTGAACCTGTTTTCTCACCTGTCCATTGAGAATAATGAGATCGAAGCCCAGGGTCATTGTGAAAATATGGTGACATAACGTCTGCAAAAGTGCTCTGTCAACAGGTAGATGTTTGTGTAAAGGGAGGGATTCATGTTTTTATTACTGGGTGATGATTCTGCTGGGTTCTCTTAGGATCAGGTGACCCTGGGAGAATCACATTCCATTCTGTACCCTAGTTGCAGTGGGAGCAGAGAGACCAGAGGGAGGAGAGACGTGACGGGGGATGCGGGAACCAGAGGGGCCAGAGCAAAACACAGGGTTCTCTGGTCTGGGAGACTGAGGGAGATATTGCAGCTGTCCCTGAAATGGGAAACCCAGAGAAGGGGCAGCTTGAGAAGGTGATACCTTCAGTTGGGATGTCCAGGCATGCCGTGACTTTGGGACATCTGAGGTCCAGGCGGCAGTTAGGAATCAGAACCGGACCTGGATGGAGACAGAGGTGTGGAAGTTGTTAGCGCAAGGGCAGGACCTGTAGACTCAGGAGTAAATGGATTCTTATGTTCATTTGTTCACTAATTATTTATGAAGCACCTTCTATAGGCCAAGCACTGTTTTAGGTCCTGGGGCTACACAGCAGCAGATAGCACGAGACCAAAATTTGTCAGTCGTGTGGAGCTTTCGTGTTAGGAGGGAAAGACTGACAAACCAATATGTAAAGAGTGTCAGAGGGATGGTGAATGCTGTGGAGGAACATTAAACCCTTAAGAGGAAAGGGGAATGCTGCAGCTGGAGGAGGAGGCAGTGACAGGAAGTGTTTCTTTTTTTAAAGATTTTATTTATTTATTTGACAGAGAGACAGCGAGAGAGGGAACACAGGCAGGGGAGTGGTGGAGGGAGAAGCAGGCTTCCCGTCGAGCAGGGAGCCTGATGCGGGGCTCAATCCCAGGACCCTGGGATCATGACCCAAGCCAAAGGCAGACGCTTAACCGACTGAGCCATCCAGGCGCCCCAAGAGGTTTTTCTTTTAATAGGGATCCAGGAAGGCCTCCCTGAGCAGGTGACATTGAGCACAGTGAGCTATGTAAAGATCTGGGAAGGAAACACAGACTCTGCGGCGGCCTGGTCCCTGGCGTGCTGGAGGAACAGCAAGGAGGCCAGTGTGGGTGCAGTGGAGTTAGCCAAGGTGGAGAGAAGCAGGAGATGAGCTAAGGGGGGGGGGGGGGGGTGGAGGGCCCCCAACACGCTGAAGGCCTGAGAGCCACTGTAAGTACTTGAGCTTTTACTCTGGATGAGTTGGGAGCCACTGAAGGGCTCTGAGCGAAGGAGGAACAGAAGCGAACTTAGCTTCTCACGGAATCCTGCTTTCCGCGTTGAGAATAAAGCGCAGGGGGCATGCGGCATCACAGCGACTGTTAATTTATCCCACATGAGAGACACTTTGGGCAATCTGATTGCATTTGGCAATGGCCAGGATTCAGGGTGACTCCAGATTCATCTAATGCTAATTCTGGTTCTTGTCAAGCGAGTGGAAAGGCAGACATTTCTGGACACAGATGCGTGTGGATTAATCTGTGGAGTGTTCCTCCCAACCATGTTATGCAACATCTGGATTGCCACACAGCGTTCAACCCTCTGCTCGTGACGGCCACACACACCTTTTTTGTTTGCGGTAGCTGACGGAGGCTCCGAGGATAACCCATCAGCTGCTCCCAGGAGGGGAATTCCAGCTTCTTGGCTAACCGCTCCTGGGCCAGAGGGCATGGATGGGACAAGGTCCAGGTAGCTCTGGTGCCCCGCTGATGTGCGTTCTTTAGAAGAAATGCTTAACAGCAGGGTGGTGCACATTTTGTGGTGGTTTTTCAGTGGCTTTCTAACCATTCAGTTTGTCCTCATGGCATCTTCAATTGTTTTTCGCTTATTTGATGTGTAACAGGTGTACAGTGAAGCACACGGTTCAGTGAATCCTCACAGACTGCAACCCACATACTCCCCATCTACACCCCATTCACATCCGAGTCACAGGATGGGCCCAGGCCCCAGGCCCCCTTCATTCCTTCCTGTCCCTGCGCTCCACAGGGTAGCAACTGTCCTGGTTTTTAGTAGCACAGATTCATTTTTTTTTCTCTTTTTTTTTTAAAAATTTTATTTATTTATTTGAGAGAGA